TTCCTGCTCCTTTGATGCTGCTTGGCCTGCTGTGTTCATCCAGCTCTACACCTTGTTAACTTAGATAGACAGGTTGGATGGGAGACTTGGGGAAGTGAAAAGCCTTTGGCATTTACAGGAAAGGATATTAGGAAGCGGGTTTTTATGTTTGCAGGTTCATCAAGACAGAGACGCTGAGCCTAGACTCACTCTTTCACAGGTGACTATTGTGCATAATAGAAATGAAGAAAATGACCATGGCCACACTCAGAATGGTCTGGGTAATGCTTCATTCTCCAGGGGAGGGGTTTTCAACTTCCTGTAATAGGAGGAACTTCAAAGGGCAACACCATTGCAGAGACACCCATTCATTCAAGCTGAAACACATCTGCAAACACTACATGCTTTGAGAACCATAAGCATCAGTCTACTGTGTGGTGTGCAAATCTTTGCCCCAAGCAAGATAATGAATGAATCACACGAATTCCTACGAAGCAATCACTATGTTCGTCTACCTGGTAAGATCGATCATTGTTGCCAAAGCATTAATTACATGGTGTAGGAGCTGCTTACTATACACCTTGCTCCATGGAACATTGTGTAATGTTAATGAAGTGCGGGTTCTGTACCTTCAATATGTAGTTGCAACTGTTTTGTACAAACAGATTTATATATATATAATATATATGAACATAGATTTATAAATGAGAAAACGCATTTCCAGTGACATGTCACACCTGCACCAGGTAACCTCAAAAGGTTTTCTTATTTCTTTTCCTTCCACTACATATCAGTATAGTCCTGGACTCTGCATCTGTGGTCAACGGAGCTTGCTGTACAGTAGACCTCATTGACATTGGAAGTTTGATCATTGGGGGTGTTTTTGTCTAGAGAGCCCAGGCATACTCAGTGTGCCCTGCCTAGAGGCAGGTGCACCTTCATTGACTTGACCTCCCACAGGCCTGAGGGTGACAGTGGAAGGTCCGGTCACCTCTAGAATGTCCTGAGGGGAGACTTTAGAGCAGGTGAGGGGTGGCTATGTTTGCTTTTCCTCCAACTGGGTACCTATTGACATGACCCTGTTTGGGACGTCTGGAGTGAGGTCAAGGTTCGTCATCCCCCTATTGCCTTGCCATTGGTGCTGAGTGCCAACAGCTGGAATGATAAATTATAGGACTGTGCACATGTTCAACAAACACTGACGATGCTGGACATGGCTCTCTATGTCAGCTACGTGCTCCACTGCACTCCTGCAGTCCTGCAGCCTTTGTGTTTGATTTGCCAGTGCGTCCGACAAAGCTGTCTGCTGCTCCTGTGTCTACTCGTGCATGCCAATGAAGTCCCTGAGAGCTGACACCATGGGATCCTTTCGTGCATGGGGCTGAGCAGATGCCTGATCTCCCATAGTCCTCTGAGTGCCAGTAACCTCAGGCATTTCTCTCTTGACTAGCTGTGGAGATACAGCAGTGAAGTACTCACCAGGAGGAACTCCCAACTCTAAAATACCCACGAAAGTATCAGTGTCTGAGTTGGTGGAGGCTGTAGGAGGCAACATTGCCAAGGCTTCCACTGAGGCATCTCTGCTGTCTTCCTCAGAAACAGAAGTGGGTTGAGGCAGCCTTCTTGACAATGGACACCATGGACATGTCACTGGATAACGCAGGAAACAAAACAGACAATGTTGTGAACAAGAGTTAAAATTGCGGCATGTTAAATATAAATTCCCCATGGGGATAATGGAAGAGAAGCATAACAAATGCTTTTCACTTGGTTGCTGGAACGTGGAGATTTCGACATTCCCACAGGACAGGTCTCAGTCCTCACCAGCCAGGATCAAAATTCTCTGTTCCTAAGGACAAATATCCTTCACCCCTCCACCTCTCCTGGCTGTTTCAGCTCTACTGTGGGCCATTTTCTTTTGTAATCAGAGAAAGTGAGGAATTGAATGAGATGAAAGTGGGTGACACAGCTATTTGTACTGTTACAGTTTGGGGAAAGGTGGTGATGTGATCCAAGTGAGTAGGCAGTGCAGATGCTATACAGGGTTAGTAGTCTAGGGAGTTGGAGTGCTGAGAGTGAGTGAGGGCAGATGTTGCATGCAATAGCGAGAGGGGTAGAGCATAAGCCTTGTTGTGTCAGGTGGTGCAGTGGCAGAAATAGAGTGAGGGTGAGGTAGCAGAAAGATGATGATGACACTTACCGTGACAAAGTGAGGAAGGTCATTGACTTTTTATTGCATCGCAGGGCATTTCTCCAGACTGTGGAGACCTCACTGATCCACATGGTAACTTCAGACCAGGCTGGTAAGATCTGGTCTCCTCCGTCGGTTCTGGGGTGGGGTGGTGGGGTGGGGGGAGTCGCCCCTCTGCACAACCCTCTACATGAGATTCTCCAGGTGCCAGTGCTTGTCTGCCATGCCCAGGACAATTGTGGCCGTTCTGGGTTGCCAAAACCTTGACTATGTGAGCAACAGCTTTTAAATATTACACCAGTGCCAGGGATGCTAGTATATCCTGGAATGTCCTACTATCTACGGCAAGCGGGAAAATCAGGCCAACATCGGATGAAAGGAGTTCCATAGGGGCATGGTAGGTAGTTAGCGAGATGAGTTTGGGATGATTGTGCATGAGAACTCACTAGGCCTCATGGAGAGAAACCCTCCAGGAAACCTGATGAAAATAGGAGTATTCAAATCAAAATCTTGCGTAGTAGCTGGTAGACCATGATACCTGAAATGTAGTCTGCTGAATCCCTGGGCTTTTAGAATCTACTGCTACCATTGGCATTGACATCTTACTGATCAGTGGAGATATGAATTGTATGTAGCCATGGAGTATCAGTAGCTAGAGTCCACTTGTCTAATATTGCTGCCTCACAGGACAGAAGCATATGATAGGCCTTCAATGGCAGCAGAATGTGGGACACAACATAAGTCTTCCCAGGAGGAAAGTCTAGATGTCTTTACCCGTTTGTGAGGTTAAACGGTCAGCCATCTCTTGTGATGTTTACTTCCCCATCCCACCACCCCCCACCTCCACACCCCCCTCCCCCACCCAGTTGTGCTTAGGAGAAGCAGTGAAATGGTTGAAAGAAAAGCACAAAAGCATTCAGTAAAAACACAATGTCAGGAAAGAGCAGTTTAATTCCTGTTCACTTCAAATTTGTTAAAAGAAAATTGAATATGTGAATTGATTCTATATATTAACACACAATTAATATCATCTCTGTTTGTTGCTGTATACAAGTCAGCTGCTATATTTGCCTAAATAATAGTTGTCATACTTCTAAATAATCAGTTGGGCATTCCTGAAAAATGTGATAAGACACTACGATAAAGCAAGTTCTTGTTTACATGTAACATTTTGACCTTACAGATCCTCAGCTTTGGAAATGTTATGTTCTCCTATTTTAAATTATTAATGATATTTTCATAGTACACCTGTGAACAAATTGTAGATTTAAATTTCTGATCACTTTGGGGAACACTCATTTATTTTCAAGCATCATCATTCCTAGAGATATTCCAACTATAAAACATGAAAGTAAAATCAAAAAAAGTTAAATATTTATAAACAAAGCCAATATTGGAAAAGTGTGATATTTAATTTACATTGATGCAATTATAGAGAAGAGTCCAGAAATATTCCCCTCATAATCTATTTCCATCCTGAAGTTCTAAAATAGACTATGGGAACCCCTTTGTGAGTGTGACCTTGCTGAGAAAATTGTGTGTTTAAATGAAATAAGTCATGGAGTCTGGAGCCTAAGCCAGATTTCCTTTGTTAGGTGTGGTGCAGCTGCGGTTACTGTGCAGGATTGTATGAGACAGAGGCACACTCTGAGCTAAAGTGTCAGCAGCTGGGTGAGGGCCAACTAGTCGGACGCCAGGCCTGGTGAGCTGGGTGGTGGGAGAGGTCACCGTACTGACTTTTACAGCGATCTTATCTGCATCCAGCCATTGCAGCAGAAACATCAAACATTTCCTGTCCACAAGGCAGAAATACAAATTGTACAGCGTCCAATTTTAGGCAGTCACTTCAACCTAATGCAGGATGCCAGAGATTTACTTTTTACTTTTTATAGAGGGAGGGAATGTACAAAATTCATCTTTCCCAGTCAAGATATCCTATATAGACAGAGAATCCAGACTTGTGATACATTTGATTACTAAGTGTGTGAAATAAATTTACAAATAATGTAATGGCAGATTTCAGATGCATATATTATTCTATAAGGAATGAAGCTTACACATGGAAATATGAATGTAAAATCTCCAAAGCCAAATCTAAATCATAAGGATAATTTTGGCCATACCTGCCAGCCATGGAACTGTACAGAGTGTGGTTGTGGAGTGGGGTGGAATGGGGAGGGCCCGTGGAGACGCAGTTACATTGGACAGGTGACTTACTTACTAATGTCAATGACTTCCATTTAAATATACATTTCTGAACAGGAGTCAGGCACCCACTGGAAGACAATGAGACCCTTCTTTAAGTCTG